GGCGGCCTCTGGGCGCCTTCCAGATGTGCGCGGCGGGGGAGGCGTCTCCGTAGCCCGGAACCGGGTGCGTCTGAGCAGCCTTCGTCGGGGGACAAGGAGCGCCGGGCCGCAGCCCCCGAGGGCAAGAGCGCGCTCTGCCTGTGCGGTACAGTGCCGTTTGGGCAGCCGCCAGGTGACAGTCTCTCCGGCTGTGCCGAATTCCTATTTCATTCTAGGAAGTCGGAGCCAGTTCCAAAGGATTCATTGTGTGAGGAGTAATTTTTCTCTTTTTTCCACAGCTCCTGTCGCTCCCTGGGAACGATGGATCCCTCGGCAGCTGCCGCCGGGGCCCTGGACGGCGCCGATATTGGGTCACAGAGAGACAGAGTGGTGACCGAGGAGGAATGGCTGCACAAGTGGGAAATGCGTAACATTGGGTTTCACAAGGAGCAAGGCCATCCGTACGTGACTTTACTCTTCTGCCTAAGCTGTTTAAAGAAACGTTGTGTGGTGGATGACTTGACTCCCTCAAAAAACTTGTAACAAAATGGAGCATTTACAAAAGGAAAATTGTTTTACATAGCTCGAAAGTAAAAGAAATTTAAATATTTTTTGTGGCCTGTCAAAAAAAGGGCAGAGAAAAGAAAGGATTGCTTTGAATTTAGAACTTTTAAATCTGGTTTTAAACTGTAAAGCTTTGATAACTTGACCATGAATCTTAAATTTTCTGATGCACAGTCTCTGCACCGCAGTTCCTAAATTATGAAAGTGGGGCCTAAAACAATATGCCGAGAGCATTGGAGCAGGGACTGTGGACTGGAAGACAGGCGCCTAGGAGAGCAAATGTGGTTATATAGCCTTGCAGCCAAGGAAAGTTACATTTAAGTGATTTGATTGATGCAGAAGTTTAATAATCATGCTGTTTAAGTTTTCTATCGTGGCCCTCTTAGAGGTGGGTTGGTTTGCTGTTTACTTTAAAAGACAAACAGAACAGATAGAAACAACAGGAATTCAATTTTCTTTAAGTACGTGGAAGGTGAATGTTTTTATTTTACATTTGCATTTCTAATGGTATGAAGTAGGTTGAACTAAGAACCTGTCTTTCATCATGGAATTTGTGTATTGCCTGGAATAGTATGTATGGCTTTTAATGTGCCAGCACAGATACTCAAAGTGTTAAGTAAAACGTGTCTGTTCTGCAGGCTCCTACAGAAGTATCTGGACGTTCTTTTAAATGGCAGAAGTGGACTGAGGATATTTTTCCCACTTTGTGGTAAAGCAGTAGAGATGAAATGGTAAAGCACAGACTGTAAGAGCAAAAATCTCATTTGATATGGGGAGAGGGAGAAGGGGATATTCCCAGCCTGATGTTGGCCAGTGGAAGCATGCTGCACCTCTCCTGGTAGAAAAGCAGCGTCACTGGAGGCTGAAGGGAGAAGGAAGTTTGATTTCATTTGCTAGTGTTTTTGTATAGCAGCATAAATGGGGTGGATAAGGACTAACCTGAAAGTCCTCCTTGTTGTCCTGAGTTCAGCTCAGAGAATGCTGAAGTTGTGATGGACAGAGTGACTGAAGTGATGCCCTTACTGCTGCTTCTCTTGGTGGCAATGCCAGGTTAAATTGCCCACAGTGAGGTCGGTTGTTCCAGAGCACACTTTAAGGAGACCACGTGGCATGTCACACTGGGAACTTAAACGATTTGGGCTAAATACAGCTTCCTTTCTTTTTTTTTTTTTTTTTTTTTTTACACTTACTATTTTACTTTTTTTGGGTGGCTTATATTTACAGTTAGGGGCTGTATAAGCGAGCGTTTTTTTTCTTGGACAGAGGGGACACAAGCCAATACCCCCTGACTGAAATGCATCCTCAAGGAATCCAGTTATTCCCGGTTCCCGGGTTTTATGATAACTACCTGCTCGACTGACCTCTGGCGCATGTTGCGGTTGCGCTGAGCCGCAGCAGCACGGAGGTCACTGCGCCCTGCTGAGCCCAGCATCGCTGCCAAGCCGCAGAGGCAGCGGGGTGGGCAGCGTGCCTCAGCCACTGCGGTTCCGAGCAGAACCTGTTTCTTCTCTATGTCTCTCTCTTTTCATCTAGTCCATAGGAATGAATGAATAACCCATTGAATCTAAATAAAGCCTCTGAATCCTCGTCAGCTGTACGCTGAGCAGTGCTAATTTAAGCTCAGATCATGGAGGGGAGGTGTTCAATAAAATGTTCACGCTCCAGAAAGTCAAGATTAGACATACCAGTGCTTCCTGAAGCCAGGGTCTCTCGAATGAATAAATGCCGCGTGAGAGAGAGACATTTGGTAATGGCCCAACCCATGGGCCTCACGCAAACTCGGGCCCTCTGTGCTACCTACATGCAGGCTGGCGGACATGGGACACCGTGTTGTTGGTGTGGAAGTCAGCGAGCAAGCGCTGAAGGAGTTTTTTGCAGAACACAGTCTTCCTTATTGCGTGGAGCCAGTCCCAGAGATTTCAGGAGCAAAAAAGTTGCAGGTATGTTTCCTGTGTTGTCGAAAGACCTGGTGTGGTTAATCATGCAGTGCAGGCATAACTGAGCAAACAAGTCATTCTGCTTTTATGCCTCTGTCTTGCTGGTAATCATTCACCTCTCCTGAAGAGGTCTGAAAAGAAGCTCTGAGTTGTAGTTTTGGACTGAGAAGTTGTTCTTTTCAGCTTTTATTACTTTGACCTTCTTTTCTTACAACATTTAAGCACCTGAATGTAAAGTAAATATGTTGCAAAATTGGACAGTTGCATGTCTTTGACAGATCAGAACCTCTCTGGAGGAGATCAGGAGAGGTGCTTCAGTAAAGAAAAATTAAAAATGTTTCTCACAGTTTTTCCTCGTTAAACCTAAGTGTATATTTTTAAATAGTATATGTGTATATTTTAAGGTATAAAATATAAATATACACTTAGAAGTGTATATTTAAAGATAATTTGCCGATAAATATTGTTTCCTTTGCTTTTTATTGTAGAGTACCTGTGGGAACATTTCTCTGTACTGCTGCAGTATTTATGATTTGTCCAGGTAGGTATACATAGTGTGTTTTACAATTGTCTGTAATCTAACAAGTATTAATACATTCATATTATTTTATTTGAATCAGCCATAAAGATCTGGAACACGTCCCCTCAAGAAAACTTCTGTTAACTTTTGTGAGAAGTGTGAATAGCCAGTCTCCAACGAAAAATAACATTGTTGTTGACCACTGGATAAAGGTGCCAACTAAATCTCTTTAAGTGGGCTTCTTGTTATAAGCCATCCTGTGAAAGTTACAGAAAAACATGTTTGCTTTTACATTAAAACCAAATTAGCTTTAACTTTATTGATGGATTGATTATACAAAGCAAAACCCTAGCACAATCCCTTACTAAAAGTAAGGAGAATATACCCAGAGGTGTCTTCTTAGCTTTTCCTTTAACCAAGTACTAAATGTATTTTTTTTTCCCCAACTACTGGGGAAATGGGATACAGGTAAGCTGTATCCATTGATTATGTGTGTCCCATGCTTTACTTAATGTACTTTTCTTGATGTAGATTACATCACTCCAGTGTGACTGAATAATACATTGTCAAACATTGACTCTGCAAGTGTCTTGACAAACCTGGCTCAACTTACTAATGTCTTCTGACGGATTTTTAGTGTTAAAATGTCCTTATTTCTTAGTTAAAAGACACAACAGAAAATGCAAGAGACTTCAGTGCAGTCTGCACTAGTGACCCCTGGTAAATGTTTCAACCCATTCTGGTCTGTAGCCTCAAGCATCGTTTCTCAGATTTTGTGGTGGCTTTGCACCTGACCTTCTGCTCAAGGGTCAGCTAGTGGGGGAATTTTGAAAATTACTGAGTTTTTCAGAGACTGTAAGAGGATTTAAGACTCTCTCTAGCCTCTACCAGAGAAGGCTCAGCCTTGCACAGTAATGCATCTGGCATATTTATTTGTCTTCAGAAGTTTCCTAGTGGTGTTAGCAACGGACATATTTAAATCTGTTCAAAAATGTCTTCACATCTAGGACGGTGCTGGAGTAGCTGGAGATTAGAGAACACGGAAGAAAGCAGTGTTGTTTCTGGTTTTGTAGTGTATCCTATAGGAAGCCGAAGATGCCCAGAGTCCTGCACTAGAATCCCCTCCTCTTGCAGTTCTACTTAGATGTTATTTTCCCTAGATTATAAGGTTTTGGTGAGGTTTTGTGTATTTGTTTGCTTTTCTTACAAACAATTGCCAGGAACAAGGATTTGTTCCATAGCTGTTCGGTAAGAAGAAAGAGGTCAAGTCTTCATCTTTATTTGGATGTGCTTTACAGACCAACTACATATGCAGGCATAATAGGTAGTATCAGACACCAGAATGCAGTGTTTACTCTATGATCCTTTTTTTTTTATCTGCATAAACTGTAAAAAAGAATATTCATTACTAGAGTCCAAAGTCTTTTATTCAGTACAGCATTACTAAGACTTCTGCTGGTGCAGCCGATGCCAGTTGGTTTGAATAGTGTATATAACAGTGTGTAGGTCCTGCCTTGGAAAAGTTGGACTGTATGTGTACGTGACTTGGTAGATACTTGCCTGGTTTCTTCCTCGCCTTGCCCCAGCAGTGTAGCTACTTGCTGTGTAGATCCCTATAAGTTCTTCTTGCTGCGAGTTGACTGGTTGCCCAGGGATTGCTTAATCTTCTCGTCAGCGATTTTTGAAAAATTCAGTTCTAAGTTTTGCAGCAAGTAGCATGGTGAAACCTGCAATTTCTGTCATAACATGGTTAGTTAATACTGTGAAGTAAATCAAAAGTACATAATTAACGACATTTTCAGTGCATATTACTCGGCCCAGTACATGGGTTTTCACCCACAACATAAATTGGCAGATACGTGTTCTGGATGCATGGTTCTGTACTGGGTGCAGTAATGGTGAAAGTATGAACTGTGTTCCCTACAGCAGTCAGCAGATGCCTGTGACTAGAAAAATACACACACTCTTCCAGTTTTTATGTACAGACAATTTGATTAATTGCCCAGTAATTATGGAAATTAAATTTACCTCTCTCTTGCTGAGGCTGGCCTGCAAACAAATTTTGATCTCCATTAGCCTAGCATTCATTAGAGGAGAACTCGGATGTGCTCCTGACCTTTGTCAGAATGAGACATTTCAAAGCCTCTTGCTAGTTAAAGAGTAACAGGAATTACTGCTCTTTGTGGGAACTCTGGGACATATGTAAAACAGTTATATTGCACAATCACTGTACCTTCTGTTACAATTATGGCTGCAAGACTTCAATGCAATTGTAAATTTTGTCACTGAAACTGCGCAAGTCCAGTGGGATTCCTGCAGACAGGTGAGTTTCTGGTTATGTGTTAATTTTATTTAGCTGTAGTAGTACCTAGACTGTGATCTCTCATGTTACACATCATATAAACACGTGGCAGGAGATCATGTAGGGCTAGAAGATTGGGTAGCGGTACAGTGAAAGGTACACCCAAGAGCAGCACTTCCTAACACATTAGCTTCACCCTGACTGCACATCAGAATGAAAGACAGCTGTGTAGCTTTTTTGCCCTTATGGCTTGATTCTCCTCCGAAAGAAATGGGATGTGCAGACAGGCCGGGAGCATCCAGACGCTCAGCAGGTCCTGAGACCTGGGCAACCAGGAGACCAGGACTGGGGGAAGGCCACAGCATGTGGCTGCCTGCGGTGTCTGTAGGCCCTGATAAAGTCAGTGGGGAGGAAAATGAAATGCCTCTAAGGAGCCACCACCACCATTCCAGTTAGACCAGATTAAAGTTTGGAAGAAAGAATAAGTGCAAAATCTTCAAAGGCTTGCCTAAGGTCACACAGCAGACTCTGCAATGCAGAGAGAATAGCCTCCAAGCCTCAGAAGATCAAGTTTGTCACCTGCCCCACTAGACTTAGCTTTGTCCCCCTTATGCCCATTGCATGTTTAACTGTCTCTTTAAAAATCTCCTTTTGTTTAAGAGGCTAATTATTTAAATTAGATGCTTAGGCTTGGCAAACTTTAAAAGAAGTCAAGACTTTAAAGTATTATCATGTCTCATCCCAGCGAAGTGGGAAATACAGGATGAGCTGCTGGGTTAGATGCCAGAGACTTAGCAAAGCTGTTGCAATGAAATGAGCAGCGGCCAGGGAGAAGTTGTCGTGGTTTAACCCCAGCTGGCAACTAAGCACCACACAGCTGCTTGCCCACTCCCCCCTACAGTGGGATGGCAGGGACAAGCAGAATGGTAAAAGTAAGGAAGAAACTTGTGGGTTGAGACAAAAACAACTTAATAATGAAAAATAATTCTTTTAAAGGAAAAAATACCCAACAACCAAAGAGAGAGGAAAATAAAACTCAAAAAGTCAAATGACACATGAAAACAATTGCCCACCACCAACCAACCCATGCCCAGCCCAAGCAGTGGTGCCCCTGCCAACCCTCCCTCCAGTTTTGTCATACGGTATGGAATATCCCTTTTGTCAGTTAGGGTCAGCTGTCCCAGCTGTGTCTCCTAACAGTTTTTTTGTGCACCCCCAGCCTACTTGCTGGTGGGGTGGTGTAAGGAGCAGAAAAGGCATTGATGCTGCATAAGCACTGCTCAGCAGCGACTAAACTATCAGCATGTTACAAACACTGTTTTCAGCACAAATCCAAAACACAGCCTCGTACCAGCTACTGGAAGAAATAACTCTATCCCAGCCAAGACCAGTACAGAAGTGAAGAAAGAGGTGATGCAATTGTACTCTTGATACCTTCCCAGTAGGCAAAAAGGTATTGCACAATTCCATACCATATTTTTCTCACTAAGTAAACTTATTTCAAAATTTCTTTAAAATTATGCAATTTATATTATTACTGCCTTACTCTCTAAAGGCCTGTTTTAATCATTAACAAGAAACAAGGCTCTTCTACCCCCACCCCCAATATCCTCATCTCTCGTGTCACCCCGACTGCTCTTACCACACATCAATAAAGGCACTTCCCAGTAGTCTTGACTACTTGCAGGTTTTGGGTGGTCACTGAAGCCATCTGCCAGCATATCCAGGAGCAAAAATAATGCCTGTGGCAGCATTAGACTGAGGCAAGCAGCAGTGGGACTTAGCTTTTCTAACATTAAACAGATAGTGAGCTGAAAGTAAATGTCCTGGGAATGGAGCTGGGAATTGAGGTGTCTAAAATTACTGTGTGTGCTGGGTTCAAGGATAGTGAAGCAATGATGCAACCTCCTAACCCCACGTTTGAAACCAGGCGTGGGTTTTAGAAGGTGGCCAGGGGCTACTGGCGTGCCGAGCCTGTGTTAGTGCTGCCTCAATGGGCGCGGCAGGGTGTGGTTGCCAAAATGCCAGACTTAGAGCCCAAATGTGTTTAAGCTATTTTCCTTCCTCCCCACCTTGTCTCAGCAGCCCCTAATGATGGGGAAATGCCACGCAATTCCAGCACCTCTTTACTACTGCAACAGGGTCATGTACCAGGGGGATTTCTTGGGTTCCAGATTATACTGTTTTGGACCATGAATATGCTGGACTATAATAAAAAGGTAGTGGAGAATCTGGACAGCTAACTGGAGAACCCTTGTGACTTCACAGAAGTATCTGAATAAAGATGAAGGTGCCGGTTTAGTATTTTTAAGTGTTTTCTTCCTCTCTCCGTAGCTCAATAGTTGGCAAGTTTGATGGGGTTTGGGACAGAGGAGCTCTAGTAGCTGTGAATCCATGTGACAGACAACGGTTAGTAAATTTGCTTTGTTAGTGTCTTTTCTCTAACGTATGCAGTGACACACATTTTTCTTTCTGCCACTTGTCAGTGAGTCCTCTTTCACTTAAAGGAGTAACCTACACACATTTTTCTTCTCCACAAGCATCATCTGCAGTCGCAGAGTGTTGTACTCTAGGTTTGTGAGGTTCCTTCAGGAAGCCACCCTGCCTTTTAGTGGGAAAGTATGTGGTTTGTTGCAACCCAGCAGAAACAGAGCTGCAAGTCTCATCTGAATTTTATTATTTCCTTTTCACCCCATCTGCTTCTCTCTTTGTTCTTTTTCCCCTCAGTTGCCATTATTCCAAATTTTTGCTCTTGCCTGTAGCCAGCCCAAGTATAGTTTGACCCTCTCCCCAGTATTTTTTAATTAGATACAGTCTTGTATTCACAACAATTTTAACATATCAATACTGTATTGTGTACTGTATTCCAGACTGTGGCAGATGAATACTGTGTCTTGTCTGTAAGATTTGAGATGACTGTGCATAAAAAGATAAATCCTTGCTTATGAGGAGTAAACAGTAACCGTTATTTGAGGTGTTTTCATGTGTAGCATGAATTTCATGCTCATGAAATTCAAACTAAGCTTTGCTTAGTTTCTGTGCAGTTCAGTTCAAGTTGTCTGTGCATAGAAATACGTTACCTCTTTTGCTGAATATTTTGAATGCTATGCTTGAATGTTTGTACAGTTCCAAAATAATAACATATAACTTTCTCCTTTTAGCTATGTCAGTTTGATGATTACCCTAATGGAGAAAAATTCTTCTTATCTCCTCGTTACAGTTTCATATGATCCAAACAAACACAAAGGTGAGAACTTTGCACTTCTGTTCATGTTTTGATTTTGCATGCTTTAATACAAATTGTATATAGATAGATGTGGTATATATATTAGTATTTTCCCCAGGTGTTTTATCAGAATAGCTTTGTCAGCTGACCACACCAATGCAACTGCATGATAAAACTTTAGACGTCAACCAAGCTTGAGATTGAATTTGCTTTCTCTCTACCATTCAGACATACTAAGGGTAAGTGGAGGACAGACATGGTATATTAACAAAAAAATGGAGCTGGAAGCGTGGCTATGACAATGAAGCTGGAAGAGTGAATGCTTAGAGTAACATCCTGTGTGGCCCGGGGAGCTTGAAGCACTCCCAAGAACATTTGCTTCACTCTGTTTATCCAGTACCTGCCAACCAACATGTTGCCTATCTTGTGCCTTCTCCCAGCCAATACCACGGTCTGAATATGCTTGAAAGAGATGCAATTCTGTGAAATCATAAAGTATTTTTTCCTTTTTCCTTTTATAACTTCTATTACATACCAACGTCTGAGGTATTTGAATTTTTTTGTTGTTGTGTTAATTATTAACTCTGAAAAGAAAGAGATTTCTTGCTGCTTTTGGGCTCTTCAGCATAATTGTGCCTGAAAAAAATAGGTCTTGGTATCATAAGCAACAATAGTTTAATTCATTGCTCCTCCTCCCAGGTTATTCAGCTTTTAGCTTTAATTACGCTGTTCTAGTATAAAGCAATTGTTGGCCGGATTCCCACTGTGCACTGAGAGTGCTTGCATCCATGGCACATTCATGACTTCTGACCACATAGCCACCCTGGTGCAGTCTGGAGATGATGCAGCAGCAACACCTGAAGGTGCCTGGTGGCCCACCAAGGTGCCATGCATTCTTGAGCATGGTGTTATCTGGGCCCTGCCGTTGGTGCTACATACTGGGGCCTGATTGCGGGCTAGGTGCTGGGAGTGATGGGGCTGGCTCTTCTGCTGCAGTGTCAAGGTTTGTCTCCTTCCTCTCTGATTAGCTTCAACCAATTTCTTTCAGGCCCACCATTTTATGTTCCTGAATCTGAAATTATAAGTTCCTTTGGTAAGTAGTATTTTTGTCTAGCCCTCAGGAACTTTTTCCAAAACACATAGACGTGTTTATATGCTTCTACCTCATCCTGTGACAGGTGCTAGAGAGTAATTTCCTTCTTATCTAAGGGGTTGAATTATGGAAAAATAATGGGGAAAATAAATCCCATTTAGCCACAGGGATTTTGCTGTCAAGGAAAATTCTTAGCTCTTCAGAAGAAAAGCCAAGAGACGGATACTGTCTCTTTCCTCTGCTTGGTATCTTTTCATTCTCCCGGGGTTCATACTGCACTTGGTGATCTTGTAGCTGCAGTCTTAGTCACACTTGACCATTTTATCTTTTGCTGCACCTCATCACCAATTACCCTGGTTTTAATACAGGCCTTTGCATACCAGTTCTACACTTTCTGCTGTACTTTTGTAAACCAAGGAAGAAAAGTAACATACCACACACACACCAAAAAAAAAAAGCTAAATGTACAACTCAAATCCATCATAATAATGAAACTCGGAATTATGGCAGGACTTTAATTTTAAAAGTTCCTCCTGATGTGCTTTGATACTGCACTTTTAAATTTACAACTTTCTGAGACCCCTGCAGTGTTTGTGTCCAGTGCGTCATTAGCATGGACAGTTGCATCCCAGTGCAAAAGTTCTCCCCAGTGCATTTGTGTTACTGCATTAGGGACTGTGAGGAAATCTGTAGATAACATGGTTTTTCTTTTCCCATGATAGTTTGCATTTTTCCATCATTCAGTAATTTGTTACTCTTTCCTCCTTTTCAGGGAACCACTGTGAAATTAAGTGTCTTCAGAAAGTCGATGACTTCACAGACAAACACAGACAATGGGGACTAGATTATTTTCTTGAGGTGCTATATATACTTAAGTTTGTTAAAATAAATTAAAATAACTTACCTCTCATCTTGCTTTTATTTTTATCTCACCTTTTAAAATGAGACATGTTTTATGGCACTCTTACAGCAGGTTTCAGCGTACACGAGAATGCCTGTGGAACATTTTTTGTCCATTTTGCTTACCACATCGGCTCTCCTACATTAACTACCTTCACTGTCTTGAGATGCGCATACCTTTTCTTAAACTCCGTGCACAAACAACCATTTTAAAGTGTATCTTTTTCTTCCATATCAATTCAAATCAACAGAGGCAGAAAAAAAAAAAAAAGAAATGTTGCTGTTCCTTTTCAGCTGTTGGCAGTAGACATTGCCTGATGCTTTGCAGGTCAGCCTTGGCGGCTGGCAGCCCTGGGAGCAATGGCAGCTGCTGTTCCAATGCTGTTTGCTTCTACACTGGCCTTGCACCAGACCAGGCAGCCGGGCGAGAGGCGGGAAGCTGGCACAAGTTGCTTCTCTCTGTCCCTGTTAGTCGTGATTACAAGTCAAGAGATGAGCTGGCAGTGAGCAGGCAAGAGCGCTTGGCAGCAGCCACCAAGGGGGAACTATCATCAAGCAGGAAAGAGGAAGGAAGGGAACTGGATGACAGTAAAGGAGAGAGTACTGGGAGAAAATGTCCCTGCGGTTGCTCGTGAGTGTGCTGCTCCCTCCCTCAAATGCAGCTGTGAGCAGGCAAGGGCGTGTAGGATGAGAGGGTTCAAAGAAAGCCTGCAGAGCTACTGTGTGTTCATCCGAACAAATACCTTCCTTCGTGGGTCTTCTTTTACTCCCCTGTTGATAATACTGCAATACTCAAAAATTACAAAATTTGAGACACTCAAAAGTCTTTCTTGCCCTGGCCTCCCCTTGGCAGCTTATTTTAAAAAATAAGCTGTGACGCCTTCCACTAGACCAGGTTGCTCCAAGCCTCATCCAGCCTGGCCTTGACCCCTTCCTGGGATTGGGCATCCACAACTTCTCTGGGCAACCTGTTTCAGTGCCTCTCTATGAAGAATTTTTTCCTGATATCTAATCTGCCCTCTTTTAGTTTAAAGCCATAACCTCTTGTCCTATCACTACCTGCCCTTGTAAAAAGTCCCTCTCCATCTTTCTTGTAAGCTCCATTCAAGTATTGGAAGGCTGCAGTAAGGTCTCCCCAGAGTCTTCTTTTCTCCAGGCTCAACAAGCCAAATTCTCTCAGCCTGTCCCCACACAAGAGGTGCTCCAGCCCTCTGAACATGACCCTCCTTTGGACAGATCCATGTCAAGTACTGGTGGCCCCAGAGCTGGACACAGTATTCCAGGTGGGGTCTCACGAGAGCAGAGTAGGGGGAGAATAACCTCCCTCGACCTGCTGGCCACACTTCTCTGGATACAGCCCAGGATAAGGTTGGCTTTCTGGGCTGCCAGTGTACACTGCTGGCTTATGTTGAGTTTCTCATCAAGCAACACTCCCAAGTCCTTTACTCAGGGCTGTTCTCAATCCATTCTCCACCCAGCCTCTACTTGTGCTTGGGATTGCCCCAACCCAGGCACAGGACCTTGCACTTGGCCTTGTTGAACTCCATGAGGTTGGCAGTGGCCCACCTCTGCAGCCTGTCCAGGTCCCTCTGGATGGCATCCCTTCCCTCCAGCGTGTCGACTGCACCACACAGCTTGGTGTCATCAGCAAACTTGATGAGGGTGCACACGATCCCAGCGTTCACGTTGCCAACAAAGATGTTGAATGGTGCTGGT